GTGTATTCATCACTAGCTTTTGTAGTGTGGAAATTGCAGTTACGTGATAGACTGGCAGGCTGACTGACAGATAGACAGAGTAACATGTCTAGATCCACAGCTCCTTCCACCTGTCACATGCATGTTCACACAACCATTATACCCTGCAGACCTACTTGCAAATGATTAACACATAATCAGTGATTAGAATGCATGTTAAATGTTTCATGAACATAAATAGATAATGATATGTTCAGCATTTCGTTCGGCTTTTGTCATTTACATATAATTGAATGTCACTAATATGCAGAACTTTCAATTAATTCATTGTTATTTATTATACGCAAATTGTTGCAAATTGTCAGGCATTTAAATATTCATAAAAAAATCGGAATTCGAGCGAGATAAAAGAAGCAAAAGAAATACAAATGAAAATGAAATAAATTAGGTAAAATTAATTATAAATTTATATAAACTGCATTTAAGTACAATCTAATCCAAGCATAATAAACAGCTAACAGTAATTAGTCAATGCTGAGCTGTAAAACAGTTTTGGCTGTAAATCAAATGTTCACAAATTCAGATATCAAACAGAAACTCACTTTATATGAGCAGCGCTTGACAGCTGGGCTATGCAATTATCGTTCACTTTTTAGCACGTGAATCCATATAGAAATATAATAAACTTATTTAAGCAACGAATACTTTTATTTCGAATGCATTAAGCAAAGGCTAAAGACTAAGCTGCTTGACTAAGAGACAGAAGACTTGCGATTCTTTTCTTGAATATCCCTGGGACGTAGTCGAGGCAAAAGGTGATCAGATCAAGACAAAGTTAATTAATTCAATATTTTTGGTGATTGGCATACTTTATATACTTTAAAGTACTACGAAAACATTTGTCAAGGCACATCCAATGGCGTAATATAACAGAAATAGCAATAACAAATAGTAAATAGACATTTACAGGGACGCCAAGTGATGCAGAGTCGACCACATCTCACTCCAACCTGTTCTACCCCTTAGGGCACACACACTATAACTATATGACACACTTTCAATAGGTTTCAGGTAACTAGAAAAAAGTCGCTCACACAGTTGGCTGGCAGCTGTTGCTTGGTGTTTAATGAAATTAAAAACTGTTCTCCATGTCGTTTCTAACTTGATTTTGAAAGTTCGCCAGTTTTTCTGTAACGTGCTGTCGTCGTAGTTGTTATTAAATTTGTTAGCTGACTCTAATCAAATTCTATAGCAAAAGCTCAACTTTTCAGAGCCAATAAGCGAATGAAGCCGAGGGCTCACCCAAAGACAATTGCAGCCAGCAGCCGAAAAAAACTTGCGATTGCAACCGCCATTGTTGCCATTGGTTGGCTGTCACCAAAAAAAAAAAACAAAAATGAGAAGAGCGAAGGGAAATGTTGCACACATAGACAATCAGCACGACAAGTGGCAACAATTTCGAGTCCATTGAGAAATCAGAGAGCAAAACACATGCACTGTGCGAAGCCAAGCTCATCCTGGCAGTTGTCGTCCTTGGCTTGCCAAGCTGTCTGTGAAATGTGTAACGAGCGGAAACCGCAGCGTGGAGCGGGAGAGGGAGAGAGAGAGGGGGAGGGGGAGAAAGTGAGATGTAGAGTGATAACATTGAGCAGGATAGCTTTTGGCAGCCGTCTGCCACCTGCCACCTGCCAGCTGCCAGTCTGCCAAACGTCCCGCTTGAGTGTGCATAAAAAAGGGTCACTCATAGCCAGCTCCTGCTGAGCGCTTGGCTAAGCTATCGCTGTGTCACATGCTGTGCTGCCACCGCTGCTGCTGCTATGACTGTTCTTCTGGCATATGCACTCATTTCCAATGCAATAATATGCAATCATAGCAATGCCAGCTGCAGCAACCAAAAAAACAGCTGAAGTCGTTAGCACTCGACGTGGAGATGCTCTGTTCACAGCTCAGTAAAATGACGAGCAAAATGGAAATATTTTAAAAATTTCAAAAATTTACATATTAAATTTGTTCTGTTTTGGAAACAATTTAAGCCAGGCTATCATAATAAGAGTGAACAGAGTTTACCTGAAGTATATTAGCCTCATGAAGTATATTAGCCTTAGAGATACCTATTGCTTATGTCTTAAAAGAGGCCAAGTCTCCTTTACTTTAAGCCTTAACGATTATCTAATCTTTTCATTGCAAAGCAAACTAATTCATCAAATTTAATAGCACAAATATATATATTCATATTCATATTCACAAATATATATATATTTATTTATTCACATTCACATTCATTTTGTGCCCTTCCCCTTTAGATATTACTTATATATACTTTTGCCTACATTTTTCCAATCCGCAATTTTTTGTGATCTTCAGCTGCTGTTTCGTCGTCCTCTCATGGGCTTCTTTTAGGTCAGATATTTGCAGCCAAAAAGGTCGAAGCTGTAGGCACAAGTGAGGGAAATAAAGCAGCTCTCAAGCAACTCGCCCGAGCGTGTTTATTGAAAATATATATAGAGTATAGCTAGGATTATTCACTATGCACTATATTTAAAATGCATGTTTCATATCTGAACAATGAGTTCTAACATTGCAAATGTTGCGCATTCGCATTAGTTGCTGAAAAATGGAATTAAATTTTTTTGAATTATGAACTTTGGAAACCATATATCGGCTGCAAGCTGCACTCTATAAGCTGGACAGAGGGCAAAGTTTGCTGATGACGCAGCAGCAGCAGCAGCAGCAGCAGCATGTGCACCTGTGCCTGGTGCTGCCTCTGGCCTGATGTGAGCACTGCCATTGTTAGCATTTTCATTCTTTTCATTTGTATTTATATATACATTTTTTTGTTGTTCGATGCCAGCCTTTCTATTAGCCAGCAACTGCAGCGGCTGCTGCAGCGGCTGCTGCCATGCTGACGCACAACTGTACATAAAATTTAACTTAAGGCAGGGCATGTTGTTGCCGGACTGCGACTCTCAACGTGACTCCCATAATGACTCTGACTGTGACTGGCTGTGGCCGGGCCGCATGGCTTTGGAAGCCATTAATGTTAGATGGAACGGCAAACAGCAACAGACACCAGATCGTAGCCGAAATGCTGCGGTTGCGGGTAGCCGACAGCCAAACATGTTCCCTGTCACACAATCAGATAAGCAGATAGAAAGAGACGCAGTCAGGAGAGATAGAGCGGACCAGGCAGCCAGACTTAACAAAATCCATTTCAGGCATTAAGGCGAGCTCCTTCTCAAAAGTGTGCGTCTCTAATTCATTTCATTTGCGGTTCTGTTTTCCTCTCTGCTTGCCAAAGCTATTTTATTTATTTAATCAATTTGTAACGCTGTGAAATAACTGTATATACATTTATATACATATATTCATATAAAGTGATGTATATGTCTACCTATCTATGCCAACTGAATATATTATTATAGGCATCAGAAAAGAGTGTTGAATAACTTATCAAAACTTTTTTATAGTATTGCAAAACACAAAATCCTAATGTGCGCAAAGACTTGACTCTTTTCTAGCACCTATAACACTATTTTATTTAGTGTTGCGAGACCAAACAAGGTTTCGATAAGTTATACAACACTCTTATGATATATATATATATATATATATATATATCCCCTCTAAAGGAACAGTTTACTTAATATAATTTCCTTTTTTGTACTGCCCCCACAACACTACATATGCTGCCGTTTTGCAACACTGCAACTTTAGCTCTTTTGCCTCAGCATTTTTTCTGCAAAGAGTATTTCTATGAGAGCCGTAGATTTTACTCAGCATTTTATACCCGTTCAAAATGTGAAGCGAGTCTATTGGTGCTGTAAAATATGGAATCTTTAATCGCATAGACGCTCAGCCTTTCCACAGTTAGAATGCCAAGACTGACTTCATATATCTACTGTCTAAATGTTATATAAGGCATATCAAATATAGATGCTTATCATACCTATCATATTCCTAGATCTATTCACATAATAAATTTTAATGATATTTACAAGCTGTTTTTTTAAATTCTGAACGAGTATTAGGCAGTCGGTTATGCAGTTTATTTTCATTTCTATTTTCCACACACACATACATACACATATATTTTTTTGCTGGTTAAAATTTGCTTAATTGAGTCCTGCACGGTACATGCGTTCCAGCTCCCAGCGGACACATTGGGTCGGCATTGTTTCAGCTCGTGCCGTTGGCTGCTGCTGCTGCTGCTGCTAAAAGATTTAAAGCATAATTCACAATTTGTGTGGCCTACGACGCACGCGGCTTGACCATTTGGCATACTGAAATTCAGTTATGGGTCAGCTGACTGTGTGGTGACATTTTAAAATGCCACAAATGTTGCATGATGCTCTGCTCTGCTGTTTTAATGAAATAAACAAAGAGAAAGGCAATCAGCTCTGAGCAAAGATAGATGCAACAAAAGTCTAAAATAAAGCAGTGAGCCAAATTAACTGAATATGAATATATATGTATGTATTTATTCAAAGTAAACATTTGACTCTGTATTTTATATGCTAAAAAATCGTTTTAGAAAAGTGCTTTTGTTCCTTTTGTGCATGACATTATAACATACACACGCACAACAAAAAGTCAATGGGCAAATGTTCAAGTTTACTTTGCAACTTGACAAACATTTAATGAGAAAAAGCGGGGGCAAAGGGGAGGTTAGGTCTCCAGTTGCTTGCCTCGAAACGCTTAACAAAATTTACATTATTATCTGTCATTATTAAAATATGTGCATAAATGTATGCACAGACCTGTCAAAGTGTGTATGTGTGTGTGTGTGCGTGCAAGTGTGTATGCAAATACAATAATAATATGCAAATTTTTAACAGCATTTTATGTGTAATTTAAGCCGCTTGTTCAACACTTTTTCCACTCACTCTGTCGCCCTCTCTCTCTCCCAGTCTCTCTCGCTCTCTTTCTGCCTTTCTCCTTCTGTCCTTCTTTGTGCCTTTTATCTATCAAATGTCACTGGGCTTTTGGTAAAAATTGTAATGCCCGCATATTCGCTTTTGCAGTTCCCAGCAATGCGCGCTCTATCCATATCATCGGCAGACGCTTTCATCCTGGTCTACGATGTCACCGATGCGTCCACGTTCGAGGAGGTGCGGGCCATACGAGATCAAATACATGAGACAAAGGCAACCACAGCGGTGCCAATTGTGGTTGTTGGCAATAAGGTGGACCTGCTGGCCGAGGATGGAGAACTGCGCGAGGTGAGTCGACGCGCACGGGTCAATACTAATAATAATGATCATTGTCATTAATATTAACATTGTTATTGTCATTATTATGATCATCTACAATTATGTTAAATATCATTGCTAATATAATTATTATTTGCATTAATATTATCATTGTTAGTGTCATTATTATGATCATCTATAATTATGTTAAATATCATTGCTAATATAATTATTATTTGCATTAATATTATCATTGTTGTCAGCATTACTATTATTCTCACAGCAATTAACATTAGTCTTATCATTACTATTAACATTTCTATTAGTATTAATATTATTTCCTTAGCAATTATCATTATAGTAATGATTCATTATTATTACTCAATGCTCAATCTCATTACTAATACAATTATTATTATCATTGCTATTAGTATTAGCATCATCATTAGTATCAATATTATTACTTTTCATCACTCGTTTCATTATAATCATTACTTCATTATTATAATTATCATTATTATCGTATTTATTAGTGGCGACAATGAGACGCGATGGTTTTGCGAAGCCGCGGCTACTTCCATTATTATAATTGTTATTATTTTCATTATTATTCTCATTGTTATTATCATTATTTTGGCGTATATGCTTAACAATTAATTTCAAGCGCGCCTTGTGGCCCAAATGACAACAGCAACGGCATTTCTAACTGATTTAATTTTTGTTGGCAAAAGCACTCAAAGGAGTGTTTATAAAACACACACCAGTACACACAAAAACACACACACACACACACCAGTAGGCACAGACAGGCCGCAGTAATTCGTAACCCGTTTATAAGCTATGCAAATTGCTTTTGTTTCGGCCCAAGCAATTATGTAAAGTTTGTCAAGCGTGACCAGCTACGTGACGACGGTGTAGGGTGTAGGGTGTAGGGCTTGGGGCGTAGGGCGTGGCCTGGGTGACTACTTCAATTGGGCACAACAAACTCCTACTGAGCCTAGTCCACAACTTGCATTGAAAGTAAAATAAAAGCCAAAAGTAAAATTTATTTTGTCTTTTTCAGTTTTGTTTTCAACTTTTGCCAAACTTAGCTAAACAATTCGCTGGATTTAATGACATCTATATATTTTGCAATCTGTTGTCAAGCTCACATACATTTAATTATCAATGACAGATGAAGATTAGAATAATTCAACTGACTATTTTCATACCAACATCTGAAATGTGATATTCTGCTTTTAATTTTCTCAAATATGTATGTAAAGAGTAATGTCAGTTTCGATAACTATAATTCAACTAGCTGTTTAAATACTCAGTCAGATCTGCCACCTTGACATGAATCGTTTGACTTAAACTTAGCTGTTTAGATGCCACTTGAGTTACGTCTTTATGGCTGCATTCAAGATGCAGGCAACATGCTGCACAGCTAAGAAGCTTAAGCAACATGAGTGAAGAAAAGATAGCCACATAGAGTTGAGTATTGAATAAAGCGCAGTAAATCGATTCAGTGCCTACATTCTAGACTTTATTGGTTAAATTACAGAGTAAATTGGGCTCTACGCTTACAGCCAGCTTAGTCGAGGCAGCCACAGCAATGATTTACCACTCTCTGAAAATATAGCTTTAAAAGATAGTAAAACACAATGACATTGCTCAAACCATTGGAATTTTCATTCCTTTTGCTCTGTTTTGGTCAGCCTTGACAACAACTTTGAACGGTGTATGTGCACCTGGAACACATATATATTTTGTGATACAAAATGCTAAACAAAAGAAGTTGCAATAAAAGTTCATTAAGTCGTAAACCCTTCAACTATTCTAATGAAGTGTAAGCTCAAAGGAGCAAAAGTCACGCGAAATAAGATCCCAGCAAAAGTTGCTGCAAAGCCCTTTGTGCATAATTAGTGCCAGACGTGGCAACATTCGAGTGAGCCACAAAATTAGCACAAAATGGCAATGGCAATGGCAATGGAATGCACAGCAAGAACCACTGTGCACAGTGAGCAAGACGCAGCAGAAGTGAACGATGAAAAGATTCAGAAAGTCAGATTTCTCTTAACTTTTATAAAAATAAAAAAGTGAACTAAATAATAAAAAAATAAAATAAATAATATGCATAGCTTAGCTCGATTATCACTTAAATAATCGAAGTGAAATCCGCTAAAGTTACACTATAGAAAATAAAATAAAACACAAAATGCTAAACATTTGCTGGAATTGTAAAACTTTTGCATTCAACTTGAGTGGAACAAAAAAAATCACTTTCCAGTGGCTAAGCGCACGAATTTTGTTGTTGCCTTGAAGTTTGTGTCGAAAGCGCCAGTAGATATGCAATGGCTATTGGTGCATTGTATACATATCTATATATATATATATATATTACGTATACGTATTCGCATTACCCAAACCTCCCCGCGGCCACTTACAGAACTTTTCCGCACAGTTTTTATCATCCGACGCCAACTTTTGTCGCTGTCGCAGTGGCAGTCGCAGTTTATTGCCGTTTCTTGCATATCGTTTCATTTGACAGCAAGCACAATACATATATTTATATATGTTTGTATGCATGGGCTACATAAATACCCTGTAATAACGTCAAGCATATCTTTAATGATCGTCGTTTGGCCAAATGGAATTTTGTATTAGTTTATGCAAATTGAGGGCCAAGAGCCAGCTGCGCTGTCTCTTTTTTACCCCGTGGCCAGTTTAGATCTTAAACTCAATTTAAAGTACCCAGACACAAACACACACACAGAGAAAGGTACACACAGTCAAATTATCTGCTGTAGAATTTGCCTTAAATGGATTTAACCAACGTTTGCTTTAAATTCAATTTCATTTCTTTCAAAATAATTTATTAAAATTAAAATACCAAACTTCTTTAAGTTTTGCTCTCAGTGGGCCACTCCATGACTTCGTATATTTATTATTTATAATTTATATTATGTATTATTTTTATTATTTATAATTTATATTATATGTTTTATTTATATTATGTATTCTTATTATTATTTGATACAGACAATAATCGACTTAGGCTTTTCTTAGACGCTATAAAAGCTACCCTTGATTACCTTGGATTGAACTGAAGCTGACACAAATTTGGTTATTTTGTATTCAGGAAAAAAAGCAAATTAAAAAATAATATAAAATGAACATTTGTATATTGGATTATTTATATATATAAAGAATATTTTGCCGTTCTCTCCCTGTCTCTGGCCAACAATTGTCTGCAAGCGCGCAGCAGCTTTGTAATCGGTTCTCCCATCGAATTCATTTTTTCTAAACTCACAGCACTTAAAACACCAGTTCAATAAATAATAATCTGACTATGCTAAGTAACCTAAAGCATTTAATATAAACTTTGTAAATAAATGAAGTCAGAGTTGCAGAATAAATAGACAACTTCCAACGTATTATTTTTTAAATTACTAACATATTGCCCTACACTCAAATGTAAATTTTATTTAGACTAATAAAATGGGATACACATGTCTGGCTACATCTATGTCTCTATATATATACATATATAAATATACTTATGTATATTTGTTTTTTTCCAAACATGAAATTGCTAACTTCGAAATTTGCCTAAGCCTCCTGTGAGGCTGTTGCTGTTAAGCAGCAAAAATAAATCACTCTCAGCTGTCAAATTAAATACAAAATAATTTAAAATTACTTTTCAAATCGTGCGACAATTCGAACCCTTTTTTGGCTTTGGTTTTTGTTGCCGCTGCTGCTGCTGGTGCTGCTGGTGCTGCTGCCGCAGCTGCTGCTGTTGTTGTTGTTTCCTTTCTTTGGACAGCTCTTTGAAAATTTCAATTTTAATTTATTTGCAGTTTTGTGTTGCGTGTTGTTTGGCACCAGCAGCGTTTGGTCCACTCGGCGTATACTTGATATTTCATTATGTGCTCCATTTTCTACTTCTTTTTCTGCTGCGTGCCTTTTTTACCACACACACACTTCTGTGTGTGTGTTCAGTCAGTTTATTGTCAATTTCAATAGTCCAGACAATGAGAGTGTCTTCTTCCTCTTCTTCTGCTTCTTCTTCTTTTGGGTGTATTGACTTTAACCGAGTTCTAATATAATAAAAATGCAAATTGCTCAACGCCAGCAGCGGAAAACTGTCGCGTTTTTTTTTATTTTATTTCATTTTTTTTTGTATTCATTATTATTTTTTGGGGGTTTTGGGTTTGGGCTTTTGGCTATCCTTCTCTGGCTAGCGTCTTTGTTTAACGAAGTGAACTTTAGTCTTTTACTATGTATTTAGGCTAAGTTGGGATGCACAGTTTCTGTTGGCCATTTTAAAGCCGACTGCCACGACGCGTCGGCTGGCCCAAATGTAAAGCCGCCAGCTGGACCAAGAAGCGTTTTTGCCTTTTTATGTTTCAGCTGCTCGCTCTTTGGGGTTTGCTCATTTGGAAGAATTGGGCTTTTTTGTTTTTGGTTTTGTTAGGACTCTGGCTTAGTTTTTCAGCTTCAATTCGGTTTAGTTAGATTCGATATTTCGTTGTTTCGGCTTTTCACTGTCAACCTAAAAAAAAATGAAAAATAAGTCCGCAGCTTGCCTTTTTCTCTCTCCATTTTGTTTTCCTTTTCTTTTGTTGCTGTCTGCATCTCTATTATTTATTTTCACTTCATTTTTTTTTCATCACTTACCGCCACCGCAATTCAGACGTCTATGTGCGTTTCCATGACCGATAAGAACTAGACCCGAATCGCAAAATGGACTCTCCATCTAAATGCCTCAAATCACTTTTGCTCGTCTGCCATTGTGTACACGTCTTGCTTCTTTTCTCTTCATTTTGCCTGTCTACCATTGAAATTGAATTTCATTCTTACTTTTTACTTAAACATCACCGGTTTCCGCACACTTGGCGGCTTTTAGATTGCGCATGCTAAGCAATGATTTCATATGCTTTAATTTTCTGACGTCTGACATCTGCTTAACAGAACGATTTGAGTATATAAAGTGATTTGATATGGGACAACATTATTTACATCTCAATACAAAATGTTATTCTTATAAATGAGTAACTAACAGACTGAATTCAACTATTTTATTTATTTTTTAATAATTTTTTTATTTCTAAATATATCAGACATTTTCTTTATTTTCTCTTTATTGTCACACAACAATTACAAATGGAAAAATTTTGCAGCCACCTCTTGCTATACATATATAATAAAAAATGTAAGCTATCTTCGTCTCTCTCTGGGTTAGCATTCTCAGCTGGTTACTTACTTACTTTACTGTAGCTTAGCAGCCAGCTTAGTCAAGGCAGTTAGGGGAATCAGTTGGTATTTCATATATAATGGCATGAGTGTAGCTTTAAAGAAAAATAATAAGCAATGAAGTCTATTCAGCCAGTTTTGGTATATTACAATTTGTTTTCCTATAGCTTCTACTTGGTCGCCTAAGATGAAGACGCAACTGCAGTCGAAATTAAGGTCTGCTGATGGCAATCGAACTGACAGATGCTCGAAATGTTATTATTGCTCAAACAAAGATTCCAATATTTTTATTTTTTTATTTATTTTATTTTGTTTTTATTTCAGGTCAAAGCATTACACCCCTTTAGACTATTGTGTTATTGTGTGTTCTGCAAGTTCAATTGTTGTGCGTTGTGTTTTACTCTGTTCACGGTATGATATAAGTTGCATATATAGGTACATAGATACATATATACATAAATAGGGCTTTCACGTACTTTGATATAGATACATATATATACACACATATATATATATATTTGTATATATAAATACGTATTTACGTATATGTATATATGCTTTCTCATATTCATTTGTAGAATAAATATATATTCATATAAATATATATTAATATATATATATATATATATATACACATATATATATATATATATATATATTGGCATTGGTTTTCAAACACCCTGGCTCCATAACGACGTTACTTATTCTGGAAATTTTGGGTGTTCGAATTCAAGTTTAATTTTGGTTTTCGAATTTCGTTTGGATTTGCCTAATTCATATTGATGGGCCAGACGGGTATGTGTCGATTGTTATTATTAGGATGATTGTTGTTGTTGTTGTTGCTATTGTTGTTGTTAGGGTTGTTGCTATTGTTAGGGTTGTTGTTGTTGTTAGGGTTGTTGCTATTGTTAGCATTGTTGTTAGAGCTAAGGTTGATGTTGTTGTTGTTGTTATTATTGATGTTGTGATTGTTAAAGTTATTCTGATTGATGTTGCTGTTGTTGTTGTTGCTGCTAGTGTTCAGGTTGTTGCTAGCTTGAATGTTGCAGATGATGTTCTCATTGTTATTGTTATTGCTGCTGATGTTGCTGTTACTGCTGCTGTCGTTGTTGTGGCTGATGCTGCCCTCATTAATGTTACCATTGCTAATAAGATTATTATTATTAGTGCTGAAATAGCTGTTATTCTCCATTTGCGGTAAATTCCAATGATTGGCAGACAGCTCATGTGGCAGAGCATTATGCGACATATACCAAATGCGAAACTTGCCGGCCTGTGGCGCCCCCACCTGCGGCACGAGTCCATTGTTAATAAAGACGGGCGCCTTAAAATTGAGGCCGGGGCACGGTTGAAACTGCGGCATTTGTTGCATTTTGGTCAACTGTTGCTGCTGCTGCTGCTGCTGCTGCTGTTGCTGTTGCTGTTGCTGCTGTAGTTGTTGCTCCTGTTGCTGTTGATGTTGCTGCTGCTGTTGATGGTGCTGCTGCTGCTGCTGTTGGTGCTGTTGTTGGTGTTGCTGCTGCTGCTGCTGCTGCTGCTGTTGTTGCTGTTGCTGCATGATTTGCTGTTGCAGCTGCTGCTGCAGTTGTTGCTGCTGCAGCTGCTGCTGCTGTTGCAGCTGCTGTTGCTGCTGCTGTTGCAGCTGCTGCTGCTGTTGCTGCTGCAGCTGCTGTTGCTGTTGTTGTTGCAGCTGCTGTTGCTGTTGTTGCTGCTGGTGTTGCTGTTGCAGCTGCTGTTGTTGCTGTTGCTGCTGATGTTGCTGTTGCAGTTGATGTTGCTGTTGCAGTTGCAGTTGCTGCTGTTGCTGTTGATGTGGCTGTGGCTGTTGCTGCTGTTGCTGTAGCTGCTGCTGCTGTTGCTGCTGCTGTTGCTGCTGCTGCTGTTGCTGCTGCTGTTGCTGCTGCAGCTGTTGTTGCTGCTGCTGTTGCTGTTGCTGCTGCTGCTTTTGCTGCAATTGCAGCTGCTGTTGCTGCTGTTGCTGTTGCTGCTGCTGCTGTGCCTGTTGCTGCGCCTGCTGCTGCGCCTGCTGATGGTGCTGCTGCGCCTGTAGCTGCTGATGTTGCTGCGCCTGCTGCTGCGCGTGCTGCTGCGCCTGCTGCTGCGCGTGTTGCTGCGCCTGCTGCTGCGCCTGCTGCTGCTGGTGTTGCTGCTGCTGTTGCTGTGTCCACTGCTGCCCAGGATGTTGCCACGCTTGGGGTGCATACAAAAATTGCGGGGCTGCTGGGGTAGGCGCCAGTGTTGATGGCGGCGGTGGAGGCGGTGGCGGCGGTGGTGTTGGCGAAAGCACCAATGCAGCTGCTGCTGCAGCAATTCCAGCTGTTGGTGTGGCTGTTGCTGCTGTGGCGGCTGCTGCTTGCTCCTGCGGCTGCTCCTGTTGCAGCTGCCATTGCAGATGGCGCTTGAGCAGCAAGTGCAGCTGGCGCAGCTGAAGCAGCGTCTGCTGGAAGAGCTGGCGATTGGGCACCGAGGGCAGCAACTGATCAATGCTCTGCACGAGGCGCCGCGTCTGCTGCTGCGCGTTCATCAGCTGCTCGGTCAGCTTCTGCTTCTGATCAATTTGTGTCTTCTCCTTGGGCAGCGGCGACGACTTCTTGTCCATCGATGGTTTCTCGGCTTTTGGGTCGGCGACCTTCTTCTGCTCATTGCCCAGCGAAGACGCCTTCTGCTCGTCGTCGGTGAAGCGCCAGGGCTCAAAGCGCTGGCGACGCTCGCGCTCAAATTGACGCTCGCGCTGCCAGCGCAGCCAGGCATCCAGCTCCGCATTCACCGGACTCTCCATGCGCTGTGACTGTTATGGGGAGAGCGTGTGAGCTATGTGGCCCATTGAGGAAATGCAAGAAATACTTACAAACTGTGAATCGCCGTGCCACAACGTGGTCGGATCCTTGTGCTCCTTGGTCGAGCTCACATTTATATTCAGACTATTCATGGCTGCCATACGCTCGGCGCGCTCTGCGCCGATCGGCGGCAATTTTTGGCTATTTTCCATGATGATTCGTTGATTAATTGTGCTAGTTTCAGAGTATTGCAAAACTATTGCTGTCAGAAGTGGTTCTAATTGTAGTTAAATTTCCAGTGCCATGCCCAAAATGAATTCTAACCCAAGGCCACCTTATCTCATAATTTTTCGCTTTACTCTCAAATCGTTTCTAGAAAAAACACTTTCAGTTGGCCTTTACTTTTGCTTGCCTGGGCGCACTTCATTAATTTGAAATGTGAATCGATTATTCTCAAAGTGCCTTGCCATATGAGCAATAAATCTAACTAGGGACTATAGAGCGAATCTTCTTAGTCGATATATTTCTCTATCGCATCAACTGCCTTTACTGCTAGTAGGGCGAGTCCATTTAAAATGGCTCTGAAATATACTAACGGTATCAAGTGTGCCTAAAAATTATTCATATACCAGATTTTTGTACAACGGTCTCTTTTTACCTCTATTTCTATCGCTTTCCTCCCTCCCTCTGCTCCTTTGCGCGTGTCTCATTCTCTCTTTAACTAGCTCTCAATATTTTTTTTAAACGTTTTTTCTCTCTCGATGTCTACACAATTCTTCTCTTTATCTCTATATATATGTATTTCCTATGTCTCTTCTATCTCTCTCTCTCTGTCTAGCTTTGTCTTCGTGACTCTCTCTCAATGTATACCCCTCTCTCTCTCTCTTTGTTTCCTCTATCTGACCTTCAATCGCTTTCTATATGTCTCTCACTAACTCTCTCTTCTCTATTTCACGCTCTCCCTATATATCGCTAGCTCTCTCTCACTCTCTCTCTCTCTCTCTCTCTCTCTCTCTCTCTCTCTCTCTCTCTCTCTCTCTCTCTCTCTCTCTCTCTCTCTCTCTCTCTAGCTCTAATTTTGTTTTTCTCTCTCTGACTTTCTCACTCTCTATAAGTCTCCTTCTCCTTCTCTCTCTCTGACCTCTCTAACTATCTGATCTGATAATCATTCCCCCACCTTCGCTCTGTGCTTCTTTCATTGTCATTCGCTTTAAGAACCACCTTTCTATGCAATTCTCATTGAAATAGCAGACACTCTCAACATTTGTGCCCGAGTTAGAATATTTTATTTTAGTTCTTTGCTTCGAACATAAGTAAGTTGAGCATATTTATTTTTATTGCAGCTTTTGAAGACATAATCATACAATTTTATTTTATTTTAAAGTATTTTGAAACGTATTTTTCTCATTTGAGAACATTGTGCTCTTGCAGGTGGAGTATGCGACTACCGAGTCGGTGGTGACTGTCGATTGGGAGAATGGCTTTGTGGAGGCGTCGGCAGCCAACAATGACAACATCACACAGGCAAGTGCTGGCCTCTAGCAGCTGCGTTGGCAGCTGTGTGGGGAGTGGAGTTAGTAATTCGAGATGCTTTGTTATTGGCAGGTATTCAAGGAGCTGTTGGCCCAGGCCAAGATTACGTACAACCTGAGTCCGGCGCTGCGTCGCCGCCGGCAGTCGCTACCGCAACAAATTGGCAACAATGGGCCTGGTACACCGCTGCACCACCAGCACCACCATCATCACCATCAGCAGCAGCAACCGCATCAAGCGTCATCGCACGGTTCCGGCTCCGGTTCGGCCTCCACATCGTCGGGCGCCGCCGGTGGGGCACACGGCTCGCATACGCCAACGCCCGCTCAGCTACAGCATCTGCAGCGCATACAGGAGCGGAGCCTGGGCGCCAAGCGCAACTCCTGCACCATTTCCTAAGCCAATTTGGCATTTAACTATGTAACTGAAACTGAACAAACGGTCTCCTACAAATGGTTTTCAATGTTTCACAAATAATAAACGTTTTACAATTTATGTATTTACGATCTTATGTATTCACAACTCAAGTGTACCTCTTGCTACTAACTTTAGTACCTATCTCGAGCAAGTTTTTTCGCTCAAACTAATACACACACGCCAGCCCTGTCTCGCCCTCTCTCTCCCTCTCTCTCTCTCTCTGTCTCTATCTCTCTCTTGCTCATTTCTAGCAGAAGCTCTAACTTACTACAAGATTCACATGCCAATATTAATGTTAGATATTTCTATATATATATATATATATTTAACACTCACAGATATGTAGCATCTATAAAGAGCTGTTCCACTAAACTATGCACAAGAATCTGTAAATACTTGACAATATCTGAAACATAAAACTTGACCAAAACCAAAAAAAAACCCACTTCTAATTCCTCTTTCAATTCTCAGTCGATGAATTTCCATGTTTAGTTAACTATAATACTTTAAGAAGAAGCAGAACAAGAAGAAAACACAATTTTACTCAAGCAAAACTTATTCAAATCTTAATACATGTTTACACAGTTGCTATTTCTAACAATATTACCAAAAAACTAAATAAACTAGAAACTAAATGTCGTATATGTGGCGCCCAAAGCAAAGGCGGCCGTTGAACCGCTCCTGTGGCTAAGCATAGAAAGGGTTTTAGGTGTGTGAATGTGTATCTGTGTGTGTGAGTGTGTTTACCTAAGCGAAATGTGAAGAAAACGTAAATAAATTATAATAGTTTATATAGGCAAACCATCTAAAATTTCTGTTGAACTTCTGTTAAATCTTGACTCGACTATGATATACCCTGTCTAAAATATAAATAACCAAATGCATAATTCTTAAGAATTCCGACTACCAAAAATCCCAAGTTAAAGAAAAATATATATAGAAAAATTCCGATTCTTGCCTTATAAAGGTCCAGCTCTGATTTACAGTTATATGATTTATATAGTACACTTAAAAATACCCGATCCTCTATTAAAAGGCGTGCATCAGTGTATGTGTATGAGTGTATGATCTTAGATCAGCCCAGTTATATAGAGTAGCACAGATAAATATATATATAAATGCAAAATATATATATATATATATATATATATATATATATATATATATATATATATATATATATTCTTAAACAATATTCGTGATCGTATATCGTCTGTGGAAGATTTAAGCAAATGCATAGTATAATTAATATATTAAATTGTTTTTTTTTTATTTTTTACTACCATATATATATATATATTGATGTTAGACTTTGTGGTATTGTCGTTGGTTAGGTATGTGAGCTAGGCAAGCATAGTAAGTAAGCGACGGGTTAAGATTGAAAATGCAATGAAAACACCAAACAAAACGAAACTAAGGCCAAACATAGTAACAAAAAGCAACTGAAAGAGAAGAGGAAAACGAAAAAGAAAATGAAAAAGATAAAGATAAATAATAAATATTATATATACATATATACATATAGTACGGGTACAACAGATGATATGATATATTGGACATGCGATATGGCAGCTGCTATAGCGAATCAACATTATTTAGCAAATATACAAAAACTATTCGATGTGTGTCTGTGTGTGTAACGTAATCCAAAAGAAATCTATATAACCATATATATAGACTTATAGTCCTTGGGGTATATATATACGCAATTTTTGTTGTTACCCTGTTATCGAACCAATTTAAAAGAAAAATAAATGGCAAAAACTCGCCCAAAAATATTCTAATGTATTATAAATTGCGAATCTAAAGAACTTTCAGTATTTTGATTCCAATTTCTGGGCTACTTCATGCTATATATGTATATCAACAAATAGATCTATATATATATGTTATCTGATTTGAGTGCAGATTGTTGAATATATATGGGTATTTAATGAATAAGCATGAATATCGAATATGTTACAATGACAAAATGAACGAAACCAAAAACACACACAAAAACCAAAATGAATTTATGTAATTTTAAAAGTAAAATACCAGTTCGTATAATACCTATGCAAAAGTAGTGCGTATTCATGTGACGAAAAGCGAATTACAACTATTATATGCATACATATATTTAAAAATTACTCTTAAATCTATTTAAACAACTTGTCATAGCTGATGTTCCGCGTATTTGATGTAATTAGTGAAATTATCAATGTATTATCAATGTATTATAAGACCAAAATTTCCTAAGAATTGCAATCATTTTGTCTCATCATTATATTTTTTTGTGACTGTGTTCTATCTCTATCTCGCTCTCTCTCTCTTTTCTATGCCAACTCGCAGCCAACTTAATAAGTTGCAGGCATTTCATTTGGCGTTGCCAGATCAATCAACTCCTTAGCTTCTTTTGTAAATATATGTCATATTTTTATTTGATTATAATATTATGTATAATTTATAAAAAAAATTTTGGATATCAAAGCAAGGCCACACAGAATTGACTAGAGCGCCAAGATGTTGGCGCTAATTTAAGGCAAATACCAAATACAATTCGTTATGGGTTCTTTAAAAACTTGCTACATACTCGTTGAAACATACACTAATATCTCTACATACAAACATACATATATATTTATATATGTATCTATCTATATATATGTATCTTTATTGATGTGTATTACTAGATTTATATTTTAGTCTGGAGCTTAAGGTTGTGTCCGCTGTATACGCCGCTGCAAAATTACATTTTATTGATGTGAGCTAAAAAAAAAGCATAAAAATATATTTATCTTAATAAATATATATATATATATATATATATATATATATATATATATATATATATATATATTTATATATAATTTAAATAGTTGCAAATCGGTGTTCGAACTTATATATTCCGCGGCTTAGTTTACGTTTTCGAATTTTCCTAAGTTTTAAAGTTAACAATTCGTACATAGGAAGCAAGTATGTGGGAGTTAAAGCAAAAAACCCAATGAATGTTGTCGAGATACAAATAAATACAAAACTTAATCCATGGGTATGCAAAACAATTATTAACATAAATACATATGTATACATATGCAGACGTACATACATACATCAATATATATATGTGCATATATGCATATACATATGTATATCTATAAATATACTTAACATACGTGTCTATGTATTATGTATAGAAAATATATATTTAAAAAATGTAATGAATAAAATGCAAACCGAAAACCAAAAAAAAAAACACAAATAAAAGAAAACTTCTTTAAAACGAATAAACGCAAAGACAACACATACATTTTGTGTGCTTAAGTAGAATGTGAATGCGGAAATGAGTTTTTTCTTTCCTCATCTTTTATAACTCAAGTTTATGATGCTACGGAATTGCTAAGCTAACGGAAATCAAAAAGAATAATAACAAAATGACTGCGCATGCTCTCAAAAGCCAATTGCAACAATTATCCATCGATAAGTGTGCTCAAATGAAAGCTGCCTGCTACAAGAATGCGCGCATAGCTCGCTACTAACAGCTGTCGGATACGACACGCCAGCTAGTTGCAAATGCAGCTTTTTATTGTTAAAACACAAACTATGCGCAGGTAAATTTATTCAAATATGAACTGCATATTGAACGTTTAGATATGTATGTGTATATAAACTGGATAATATGATACATGAGCGCACAAACTGATAACAAAAAGAGGTGTGGCAACAAAAAAATCAATATGAACTTCCATATAGCGGTAAATATCATAGTAAAGGGAGTATGTAACTGTATGTGTGTGTGTGTGTGTGTGTGCACATTTGAGCAGCAACAATAACAAACCGTAGCACAAGGCCAAACAAATAAGCGTACAATGTGCAAAAGTAGCAAGCTCAAGGTTATGATGATACTTGCCGTCGGACATAGACGAAAGGCAATACCCTGCAAAAAAGAATATGGATATAATTGAAAATAGACGAAACAATTTCCGTTTCATACATATCTTTATTATATATACATATATGTACACATATTTATAATGGAGTATAAAGTATCATATTTTCAAATGGCTTATGCTAACGCATATGCCCGCCTGATATGCATAGCGAACGCAGCCCAAGCAGGCCAGGCCAGCCAATTTCAAAACAGACGCAGGCGCAGACATGACCACGCTGCGTATTAGTAATATAATCTATGTTGTAACTGTGTGCGTGTGGTTGTAGTAGTAGTAGTAGTAATAGTACTCACGTTTGTAGTTCTACGCAAGCCAAGTCAATGAATGCCAGCTGCTTCTTCTCTCCGCTCGGTCACTATAAGAAAAATGTGTTCTGAAATAAGTTTGACTTTTTTATACAACTTTTCTGAAATATTAAGCAAGTAGATAATCTGGCTAAAATATATTTTTTGTTTATTTTAAATTTAAATAAAAAACTGAATTATAGTTAAACTCAGCACACTTATAAAAGAAACATATATATGAAGAATTTCGTTTAATCTAGCTGATATTCTCTAGTTGAGCATGTATCGATTCTTATCGATAACGATTGACTATGCTAAACATTCAAAAACATTCCTTCAGCTCTACTTTGTCTATGGTAAGAAGCCTTCGTTCTTCACGTTACATTGGAAGGCACGATAACGATATACCCGGCAACTGGCATGTAACTAGAGCATTTGAATTGCAAACTTTAACTGCTGCTGCCACTGCACGTACAAGTTCTGCAAGTGTTTGAAATGGAAAGTGTTTGTTACTAATATTTGGATTTAAAAATATCTAAATTAAATTGTAAAAGTGAAATGTAAATTGCAAAAGGATTTCCTGAGTTCTCATAGCTGGTGAGCATGTAGAGTGGAGCATATATAGAGCGTTTGGTGTTTTGGTTATTAGGTCGCTGGGTCGCTACATGAGTATGTGTATATATATACATATATATAGATGTGTGTGTGTGTGTATGTGTGTGTGTGGCTACGGCCAACAGCCAGAAGGAGCCGAAAATCGTAACCGATATATGGCCAAAGTTGTAAGCGGATTCGCGGCGCCCGGCTGTGCCCGGTCATTGTAATTTGGCCAGCGAGCGATTCGCAGCTCTCAGCTGGCAGCTGCAAAGTTTGTTTGTTTTCTTTTTCATTTTTTGCTATTGTTACACGCGCCACAAGAAACTGTTATTGTTTTCGTTTTCACTTGCCTCGGCTCGTCTTCGTTTACGTTCGCGCTCGGGTTCCGCCGCCTCGTTCCCGCTATCGTTGGCGTTTTGCTCTTCGCCCGAAAGTATGCAGCAAAATAAATTGCGCGTCATTTGTTAACTTAA